TATCTCCTAGGGCAATCATTTGCATATCAAGAAGCCAGGAGTCAAGATCCTGAGGTTCTGCCCTTCATTCTGCAGCTTCCTTGCTGTGAACTGTCAGGCACATTACCACTTAGGCCCAGATTTAAGAATCCGTATGATTTGAATAATGCTTCTGTTTCTCATCAGGGGGCTCCAAACCTCAGTCAATGTTTACACGATGCTTCTGGGAGCCTATTTAGCAAACTGCAGGCCATGAAGATATAAAACATCATCAGCTTCAAAAAAGAAAAAAAAAAAAATCCAGGCAGGGATGGGCATGGTGAACACTAGATCTGTTGTTTAAATGCCAGCCCTGCGTAAAAGGTACTGGTTGTTTTTTCCTCTGATCTAATCCTCTTAGTCATTCACAATTTTAGTTGAGGAAGAAAATGTCAAAAGTTCCATCAAGGGTTTCTGCATGGTAGAATTATGGGCTTACAGCTTTTTCCTTTATGGTGCTCTGTATTTTCTGAACTGTCCACATTGAACACATATTATTTTCTTTTCTTTTCTTTTTTTTTGCGGTACACGGGCCTCTCACTGTTGTGGCCTCTCTGCTGAGGAGCACAGGCTCCGGACGCGCAGGCCCAGCGGCCATGGCTCACGGGCCCAGCCGCTCCGCGGCATGTGGGATCTTCCCGGGCCGGGGCACGAACCCGTGTCCCCTGCATCGGCAGGCGGACTCTCAACCACTGCGCCACCAGGGAAGCTCCACATTACTTTCTTAATTGAAAAATTGGTAAATGTAAATATTTTCACTCTATAAGACTGTTTTTAAAGAGAGACGAAAGCTAACTATGTCAGACTGAATTATTGGTGCCAATTCTTTGCTTCCCCCCGGGAGTGTTATAGATCTGCATCTCTGCCAAGGTATTATGGTGGGTGGAGCATGCCTCTGCCCGTTGATGCTGGGCTTGGCCATGTGACTTGCTTTGGCCAATGGAAAATTAGCAGACATGGTGCCAGCAGAGGCTTGAAACCTGCCTGTGCAGGTGGACGTGCACACGCTTGCTCCTGTCTCTTACCAGGAGAACATAATACCTTGGGTAGCTTCTGGCTCAAGAAGAGGAGAGACACATGGAGCAGATCTAGACCCAGACTGCATCCTAGAACCAATCACAGAAGAGCCCAGGCTAAATAACCCAAAACCCAGGTGACCTGCAGCCACAGGAGAAAAAAGGGAATATGTATTGTTGTCTGAAAGTGAAACTTTGTGGTTATGTAGTATTATTGTTGTCAACTGGTACACCACCTAATACCACAAAAAAACTCAGGGGCAAAAGTAACTCATGGATTGAATTGCAGGGTATAAAAAGGGCCATGTAGCAACCTTCACTTGCCCAATTATAAAGGGGACCAAGTCAACCATAATCCCAGTTTGAGAAAACTCTTTAGTAGACAGGAATTGTTTTCCTTCCTCTCATTAAATATATAATTATTTAATTACAATTATATTAAGTCCTATGAAAAGATGAGTCCATTCAACAATGAGATTTCACATTAAAAATATATTGTGAGTTTTCAATGTTAAAATGTATTTTTTCACAACATGATTTAATGTTTATAATTGTTTTCCACTTTATGTGTATAATATCTAGATTTTAGATAATATGTGATTTTAATTATTATAAGTGGTACTGCTCTAAACATAACTAAAGTTAATTCTCTACACATATTCACGACTATTTCCTTGTGATGAAATCTGAGGAACAGAATGGCTGGATTAAGGAATATGTAAATTTTAAAGTTTTTACTATGTCTTAATTGTCTAGTTTTAATTTACTTTTGTAATTAATGGACCAGGATCCATACAGATTGAGTCAGCCCCAGATATTAACTGAGCACAAATTTTCCAATTAATTGGAAAAAAAAAATTACTCGAACTAATCCTGCTGGAATATATTGAAAACCTATTGGGTACCAGCTGTGCTAGGCACAGTGTAGTGGCCACAAGTACAGACTGTGGAGCCACAACACCTGGGTTCAAATCTTGGCTCTGCTGTTTCTGAGCATCGTGATCTTGTGCAATTTACTCAACCTGTCTGTGCCTCAGTGTTCTCATCTGTAAAATGGGTATAAGAGTGCCTCCCTCCTAAGTGCACAGAGATGTTGTAAGGATTAAATAAGTCAATAAATGTAATTCCCTAAAAGCTGTGCCTGCCACATAGTAAAGTTTTCGTGTCGGCTGTCATTAGGGATGAATAGATGAAAAGGTCACAGACCTTCCTCTCAAAGACCTAAGAGTTTAGTGAAACTTATAAAGGCTAATTGGGTGGCAAAATTTTCAAAATATAAATTAAGCCTTCACATAGTCTTTGTTTCAAAGAAAACAGTAGAAAACTGCTAAAGGAAAACAAACCTTGGAATAAAACAAAGTTAAACAATAGGAAGGCGGCTGGTCTTTAAGTTACAGAAACTATCAGGCACAAACTTATGATGTCAAAACCAGTTTGACATAAGTTTAGCAACAAGGTCTATTCCAAGGGAAGATCATATGTGATTATTTACAGTTGCCTAAAACTAGTGGAAACCATGTTTCTTAATGATCAGAAATGATGCTTTCTTCTCTCTGCTCTAATACCTGATACTAGCACAGTGCCTGACACAAAGCAGAAACTCAATTGATAAGGGTTTCAAATTGATGTTCACAAGACCAAGTTACCCATAAACTGCAAATATCCTAAATTCAATTTGTTATGCACCAATACTAATAGCCACCATTACTGGGCTAACTGCTTTGTATGTGTTACTTCATTAAATCCTCAGCTAAGCTATGTAGAAGACCAACTAAGATTGTTTTCTTCATATTCCAAAATCACTTTCAAGCTACTGTTTTTCAAAACAGGCTGATGTTCAAGAGATTTTTTTAAAAAGCTCTCCTAAGGACTATTAAACATTTTTGAAAATTATCTGACCAAAAATTAATTAACTAAAATAATTTTATATCAAGCTAAATTGCAAAAGGTTAGCTAGAATTGCTAGAGCTGTTGAGATTTTGAAATGGGAATCAAGTTCAGCTTTTTTTTTTTTTTTTTTAAAGGTAAAGGCCAAATTTCATGTTTCTGGTCATATATCTGCATCAAGAGCTATACCTTTGCATTATTTTAAAGTTTTAAGTAAACTGATTTAGCAAAACTTGGAGCAACCATTACTCCCCGCCACCTATTGGTCAAAAATAGTTTAACCAAAGTAAGTAAATTCCCTAAGTGAAATTAGTAAGTAAGGGGTGAGCCTTTTAACCATTAAGATTTAATCTCCCCTGCTAAAAAACTAAAGGTTAGGCTAAATCTTGAGGATCTCCTACTTAAAAATGCAAATATTCTGCATTTATAGAAATGAAAGCAAAGAAAAATGTCCTAACAAGCATTAAAAGAACATCAGTAAAACTCAAGTGTGAACATTTGCCCTAATTTTAATGAAGTGCAGCAATTTTTTGATGAATTTTTTCCCCTTGGCCTAAAGTCAGCTTCACCCTACACCTCAGCAGTGTGCCACAGTGGGTCACATGTTCTAGACTCTGTGCTGATCATGGTACAGAAGCAGTTCTGCTCCCAGAAATTTCATCTCCAAAAAGTCAAAATCCATAATTCTCAAAAAAAATGAAGAACTCAAACTTGTTTTCCAGGTCATTTATGAACTGGCAGACAAGAGAAAACTTTATTGTTAAAAAACAATAAAGTTTCTTTAAAATATTTAGAGGAAAAAGCTCTTAGAATGAAAAAATAGAAATCTAACCTTTAGTGATTTACAATTAAGTTTAATAACATGAAAATTTATATGGGAAATTATTTTTTTAAAAAACATGCTTTAAGTTATTTTAATTTGGCTATCTTTCAAGCCAATAAAAGTTATCTGTAGATTTTCTAGATTTTAATTTTTTAATTAATTAAATTTTAACAACACAATTTAAAAATGGGTGAAAAATTTAAACAAGCACTTCACAAAAGGAGAAATATGAATGTCCAATGAGCACATGAAAAGATGTTTGACATCATTGAGTCATCAAGAAAATACAAATTAAAAACAGAAAGTGATACGACTACTAACCCATTTAAATGGCTAGAATTTAAAAAAACTGGCAATACCACAGATGGCCAACGATGCAGAGCAATTAGTTCATTCACCTGTTGCTGGTGGGAATGTAAAATGGTACCATTTTGGAAACAGTTTGGCGGTTTCTTACGAGGTTCAACATACACTACGGATACACCTAACAACATAGATGCATCTTAAAAACAAACTGAGCGAAAGAAGCCAGACACAAAAAAAGCATGCAATGTATGATTCCATTAGTATAAAATTCTTAAGATAAATCTAATCTATAGTGACGAACAGCAGCTCTGGGGTTGCCTGGGCCCAAAGAAGGGGCAAGGGAACATGTTATATCTTGACTTTGGTGGTAATTACACTGGGGTGTAAATTCGCTAAAACCCATCCACAGGTACACTTAGAATGGATACGTTTTATTTTATGTAAATTATACTTCAGTAAAGTTTACTAATATAATCCTCAATTTAATGGCTCTCTGAATTGGATTAGGTTGTACCAAATGGTCTGTGGAGGGGCAGGTACATTCTAAGGGGCTGATTTTCACACAGGGAACTCCACTGTCATTGGGGACACACTTCAGTTGTCCCCACCTATCCACGGGGATTGGTTTCAGGACTCTCACAGATGTTCAAGTCCCTTATATAAAATGGCACCGTATTTGTTTATCAACTATGCATGTACTCCCGGATACTTTAAGTCATCTTTAGATTACTCATAATACCTAATACAACGTAAATGCTGTGTAGCTAGCTGCCAGCAGAGGGCAAATTCAAGTTTTGCTTTAGGGAACTTTCCGGAATTTTTTTTTTTTTTTTAATATTTTCCATCTGTAGCCGGTTGAATCTGTGGATGTGGAACCCATGGATACAGAGGGCCAACTGTACTGTATAAATGTAACCCCCTCTCTTAAACAAGTCACCCATGCGACTCACCAGTCAGAGCACCCCCCAGGCTTCCCCGCCGCAGCTGTCTTCCATCCTCACTCAGCTGTCTTTTAAACTTCAGCGACTTTCCAGGGCCGGAAGCCACGTCTGGGTTGCTGCATTTCCGAAATGGCATGGGCGGAGGGGATAGTATGTGGTCAAGCTGCAGAGAGAAGGACAGCGACATCACTTCCTGGGGATGCTCTCAACCAGAATGAAAGACACCACACCCCTCCCCACCAGGCATACTTTCTTCCCTCTTTTCCTTCTCTAAATCCCTCTCTCCTAACACTGTTTTGAATTTGGCTGGTATAGAGACTTCAGGGTTCCACTGTTGGGTCTTCCATCTGAAAAAGTATCTGGCTTGCTGCAAAACCTCCACTGCTGTGTTTTTCAAGCAAATTAGTGGGTCATGGCGTATTAGTGGATCATGAAATCAAGTTTAGTAGATGGTGACCAGCAGAACAGAAATTATCAGAGTCCAATGAAGGAAGGAAAAGAATCATTTCATGAAATGGTTAAGTTACACATGTATGTGTGTGTATCCAGAGTCATTATGTAAAATATATCTTTCTGTGGGCCATGATCCTCCTAAAAAAAATGAAGAATATCGCTCTATAGATTCTACAGGGAATCCATAGATCACTTTAGTTGTTCACAAAAGAAAATTCACAAGCTTTCGGTGCTCACCAATATACGTAGGGAAGGGAACTTTCTAAGCACCACAGCCCTTCATGGAAATTAATATGTCCTGATACCACTTCATAGCTTTTTAAAAGAAAACCTGTCACAAGAGTCATAGAAACCAAAGTCACTTCAAAAGACAGCTTTCTACGAAAGAATCCCTTGTGTCACAACACTTATTTCAAGATCTGTCCTGCTTTCAGAAGAAAACCTCTCATACCTGAATAGGGCCCTATGTTTTAAAATGTTCTCCTTCAGGTAGGTGTATATGCATGTATATGTGTCTAGATAGTTATTAAAGACAAAAATATTAATGTGCACATGCATATACCCAGATAGTTGTTAAGAATAAAAATGAAGTACAAAAAATATTCATGGATATTCCAACTGCCACAGAAAAGAGCCAGCTTCATAGAAATTTAAAAACAAACAAGAGTTGGGTAACACTGCTCAAAGCCAGGCATTTTTAGGGATGCTTCACTGAGATTTGTTTTGTCTTCCTGGGTAGGAAGAAGGTCATCTGCTTATACCTGTCAGAATTTTTTCAGATTAAGACTCTCATGGGTGCATTTACAGGAAAAGAAAATTCATGGATGAAGTCATCTATGTGTCTGTCTATGCCATGCAGCATATTCAAAACCATGGCACAAAAAGAAATCTGACCTTGCCTATGAGTAACTCCTCTCAAGCCAGTTGAAATGAAATAGACTACGCTCACTCAGCTGTTACATGATGTCAACTCTCCCCCAAGCTCAGCTGTATTCATTAGTAACACAGAACAGCTGGATTTCAAGCACTTGTCAATCAGTACCATCTGAAATTCATTGCCAGTCAGTATTTTACTGTATTTCATTGCCACTTAGTAGTTTAGTGAGAGGTCCTCAACAAACTAGAGGCGCATCCACTCCAGGATCTGCCCTGATCAGCAGGGAAAAGGAATTGCAGATTGTACTTTTGGAAGTATTTGTTAGGGCTGCTGTTCATTACATCAGCGTCCTACTTAGAACGGCCTCCAAGAGCGAATTTCTGTCTAGTGTTAGACACTCTGCCCTTAAACCTTACAGACAATGAAATGTAGCAAGGGCACCTTGGACAGTAACACATCAGCTACTAGAAAACGCAGAACCCAGCCAGGGGTCCAAATGCAGTCAGTCCATTACACAACGCAGAGGTTAATTTTGCCTCCTTCTTAGCTCTATTTTTTGCCCCTTCTCCCCTTTTTTTTTTTTTTTCTTTTTTTTCCTGCCAATATTTTGGGGAAATTTTAAGGGAATTTGAAACAACAGAAAAGTTGTAAGATTAGTATAATAAAAACCACGTTCCCTTGACCAGTGGTGAATTGTTAACTTCCGCCCATGACTTTTACTCCTTGTCTCTCTCTCTCTCTCTCTCCCCCCCCCCCCCTCCCTCCCTCCCTCTCTCTCCCCCCCCCCCGCCCCCGCTTTCTCTTTGCCCTACCACCCCTATAGTGAGAGTTAGTTGCAGACATTGTGGATTTTTACCCCTCAATACTTTGGCCTGCCTCTTCAAATAACAAGGACACTGTCTTAAATTCTCCTGCCCTGTATTAAATGTATTCTTCTAAGATGTCTCAAATCTTCTGTTATCAAGGGAAGTATAAATACTAGGGAAAAAATAAAATATGTGGACTTAATATTAAAAATTTGCTTTTACAGCGAAAGAAAAACATGCAGCCACAAGGTGGCAATGTGTCATAGACATTCAACAAAATGCCCCATAATCGCTACTACTCGCATAAGTGCAACAAGAACCCCTCAGAATAACCAAGTGAGTTAGGGTCCATTTCAGTTAGTCATTTTCTCTTAATTACTAGTGGCAGCTGCATTAAATACAAATATTTATTGTTTAAGGTTCACCAACTTCTGCTACTTATTTTTCACCCGAAGTTAAATTTTTCAGCTTGTGGAATTATAATTAATTTCTCTGGGGAAGTTTGTTGTATTGCTAATTAACAGAGGGTGAAAAAAGTAAGCAGAGGAAAGAAGATAATTCCTAAGGAGGAATTATGTGATTTCCTTACATATTTCCAACAAAGCCATAAAAGACCTGAAACAAGTGTAGAAGAAAGAGAAGGAAGTCAAGGAGAAAGTGTAGGCAAATAAAAAAGAAAATCCATGTCATCACATATAGAGTCATGAGCTATTAGTCCATAAGCCAGAGTTTTTTAATCAGAATCACAACCCCAAGAGAGGAGTATTATTTTAAATCTGGCAAAATCGAGGCAGTGAACTGTGAGGGCTGCAAATGTTCCCAACACAATACAAGCAGAAAAACCCATAAGCATTGCGCCATGTTCCAGGATCCCATTTTCTTCCTCACATCAAAATCACACTCTCAACAGCGCTCTCTCTAAATATATCATTTTTCCAAATTTGCTGTGTTGTCAGTCGCTCTACTTTTCTTTCTACAGTTAGTCAGAGCTTCTCAAAATGGTCCACTACAGCCTTGCAATTTATTTTTCATTTTTTATCCTGATTCAAACACTCATGATCCCTTTAAAACATTTCATCAGACCCTGGAGCTTAAGGCAGACAGTCAACATATCACTTTGGACACTGCCCTCTGAATGATTTCAGTTTAATGTTTTCCAAGCTTTCCAAACTTCCAAAGTCTCCACACTACAAGGAATTCAACTAAAGACAGAGGTTGTCTTTACAACTTTCACTCATGTTCAAGGACATCTAAGCCTGCATTTGTCCTACTTGCTCTGAATACTTCTAATTTCCCTCACCAAGCAGTCAGTGAACTCCTGGAGAGCCAGACCCTACTCCCTTGTCATATACTCACCTAGCACACCGCTAGCCACAAAGTATCCTGGACTGAAACACATTCTCTGTACTTCATTCGCTGATGGCAAGCATTGATTTGTGGTAGACTAGCTTTCCTCAAAACTACCTACCTTTAGTTTTCTTAACCGCTTTTAGTTCCAATGGCCACAAAACAGTTAAGGTGCATTTGCATATTACTGAATTTGGAAGTCAGACAGACAGGGACCAAACTTAACTCTTACAGGTAAGCAACCTCTCTTGCTAGCAGTTTTTTTTTTTTAATTGAAGTATAGTTAATTTACAATGTTTCAGGTATAACAAAGTGATTCAGTTAAACACACACACATACATATATACACACACATGTATATGTATATATACACACAATCTTTATCAGATTCTGTCCCATTACATTATTGCAAGATATTGAATATAGTTCCCTGTGCTATACAGTATGTCCTTGTTGTTTACCTATTTTATATATAGTAGGATGTATTTGTTAATCCCAAATTCCTAATTTATCCCTCCTACCTCCTTTCCCCTTTGGTAAGTTTGTTTTCTATGTCAGTGAGTCTGTTTCTGTTTTGTAAGTAACTTCATTTGTATCATTTTTTAGATTCCATATATGATTGATATCATATGATAACTGCCTTTATCTGACTGACTTACTTCACTTAGTATGATAATCTCTAGGTCCATCCATGGCATTATTTCATTCTTTTTTATGGCTGAGTAACACTATTCCATTGTATATATGTACCACATCTTCTTTATCCATTCATCCGTCAATGGACACTTAGGTTGCTTCCATGTCTCGGCTATTGTAAATAGTGCTGCTGTGGACACTGGGGTGCGTGTATCTTTTCAAATTAGAGTTTTTGTCTTTTCCGTATATATGCCCAGGAGTGGGACTGCTGGATCATGATAACTCTATTTCTGTTTTTTGAGGAACCTCCATACTGTTCTCTATAGTGGCTACACTGACTTACATTCCCACCAACAGTGTAGGAGGGTTCCCTTTCCTCCACTCCCCCTACAGCATTTATTATTTATAGACCTTTTGATGATGGCCATTCTGACTGGTATGAGATGATACCTCATTGTAGTTTTGATTTGCATTTCAGTAATAATTTTGCTAGCAGTTTATCACAGGAAACATGTAAGCGTCCTAGAGAACAAACGGTGTACACAACTACTGTAAGTCTGATCCAGACTTGGGGAAAAGTTTCCAAAATTACCAGTCCTACAGAAATGCTCATCACCAGAAATCTATATCTATCTTCTATATTGATCATCGCCAACCATTGTTTGCTGTTTTACAACTATCAGGATGAGTAAAACAGAAGAGTCCACCACGATTACACTGTGGCTTCTGCCATCAGTTAATATGAATTAAAGCCAAATCATTTACAAGACTGGGTCTTATTCTGTTTAGTGTCTCTGCCATCACCACCACAACCACTACCACTGTCTCCAAACATGGACCATGTGTTTCTTCTATGGCTATATCCCACAGTTTCATCCATCTCTTTCTAAAAAGGCATATTATACCTTTCGATGAACACTGAACTTGCAGCCTTCTTAACTGACAGCTTTCTCCAGCCTCGTCTCCAGACAATTTCCTGCCCAAGCACACAAGTTCTCTCATTTACATGTTCACATAACCATTGTTATTTGGAAACTAAAGAGA